CGCGGATGTCAAACACTGATCGATCTGCGCCGCACCTCTTCTAGTCGAACACACTGGCCTAGTGCTGCAAGCTTATCGGCTCACTGACACTGATGAGATTAACCCCCTAGGTATCGAAATTTGGTACCAAATGATGAGACGTTTTTCGATACTCGATGGTATCGAGGCATTTCGGTCGGTGTCTAAAAAGCATCGAACTCGATTGCCAGCCCTACTTGCAGAGATCTATTCTGATATATTAGATTTTTTTGTCCAGGTTGTTGCTATGATTATCACAGTGTCAAAAATTATGATTTTAGATTGTCACAAATTTTCACGTCGCAGCCTACGATTCAATAGGTGTCATCATCGTACAGTCTACATGCTTGTCGTACCCAAGTTTAAACGATCCATGTCGCACAGTGTGATAAAGTAATGATCTTATAGGATTGCTAAAATCGTGCAGTGTATCCCGGGCTTTAGATGAAATCAACTGAAATAAAAGACATTAAATCTCTCAAGATTTCAGTAGAAGATAATTAAACAACTCCACAAACAGCATCACCAGCTTCATGCATTACTAACCAGTTAGACTTTATTTCTGGAGTACCTAAAACAGAAGTTCTTAGAATTAAGGTTTAGATGTGTTTTTTTTTTCATATATAGTGTTTGATTTAGTTATCTCTTGACCCTTGAATTCTTATAAGTTTCTCTTTGGCTGTTACAATTATGTTTATAAAGTTCATATGTGATGGCGTGATGGCAATGATATAATTGTTTCATGCATCTAAGCCTCTGATTGCATTCTATCTAAATCTGTACTGCTATTCTGATTTTCTGATTTCTGCAGTTCTGTGATATGAGATGGCAATGTGAGAAAACTTTAAGCCACTTTTATAAATATGGTTCATAAAAAAAGTTTTGATTCTGGCACTCATAGACATGAAGAATCAGCATGTGAATCTCAGCAATGGTGACAAAGTATTCTGATCATTTTTTCATTATTTTTTAACGTCACAAAACAAGGCAGTAAAACAGCAAATAGTAAGAATAAAAGAAAATCCTAAAACAATGCAGCGGCATAATTTATTAATGTCGCAATGCATGCTGGGAGCCATGGATGAGTTATGATTGGTGCATCCAGAATGCAATGCTTCATGAATCTGTCTGATGATCGTCACCATTGTTGAGATTCATATGCTGATTCTTGATGTCTGTGTGTCTAAACAGTACAGGTGTTCTAAACTGGTGTACAAAGTGTTTTTAAAGTTTTTCACAATATTTCATTAAAACTCAGTTGTGATCAATCACAAACTAAATTATACATCACCACTGATGACATCAGTGAATCAGGCTATACATGACAACTACATCATTATCAAAAAGAGGCCAATATAACTTTAAAAGTTAGAAAACAATTTTCTCTGTTTTTCTTGTCATAACAAATTTGTTTCATAAACACAGATACAGCCACCAAAGAAAAACTAATGTTAAAAAGTCAAGTGTCAAGAGCCCAACTAAAGCAAACACTTATCTCCACAACGGTGACTTACAATTGTATTATTTTCAGTAAACATTAACATCTAAACCTCTGTTCATTCTTAAAAATAAATTTTTAGACGCATGACAAAAAAAAGTCAAACTGGTTAGTAATGTGTGAAGCTGGTGATGTTGTTTGTGGAGTTGATTAATCATCTTCTGCTGAGATCTTGAAATATTTAATGTGTTTTATTTCAGTTGATTTCATCTAAGGCTGTGGCTGAAGTCAGTAGTTCTTGTGTTTCTCTTTTCTTCAGTGATTCTGCTTGTTAACGGCAGGTGTTCATCACTAATGATCAATCAGCACTTAATTAATCACATAATTATCTCATTAACTTTAACACTGCTTCAGTGTTACTTTAACACTCTTTTAGGGTGGGACCATATATGCTCCGAGCAGTGTTAATTTAACACTCAGGATTTTACTATGTATGTTGTCAGACGATGCCTCGATTATAAATCAGGATTTTAGTGCAGATTTGCAGCTTGAAAGCTTGAAATAGTCTTAAAAATATATAACCAAATCATATAGCACACATTAAAAACATTTCAGAACAGTTATTAATTGTAAAACTATATTTAATTTTTATAATTCACACTGTATGTATGAGCTTTTTACACAAATTAGCATAAGTCAAGGTGTGATACCAAACTAGACCAAATGGAGATGCCAAAGGACCACTCTACCAGCCATCTTGACTTGCATATAGCTACATCACAGCTCCATTCAGAATGACTAAACACAGCAAAATAATCATGAAAAAAAAACTTTTTTTAAATGTTAAAACAGAAGTTATCTAAGAGTAGAGTAGAAATCATCAGTGCATTTCAAGGCAGGCTTTCATACAATGTACTTTTTCTGAAGAAAATGTAACTTGTGCTTGATGTGTCAACAGGGGCCACATGGTTGGATCTGTGTACACTACATTCATTAAAAAGAGAACACCTTGAAATGGGCTGATGGCGCAAGCGACTTGGTGTATGGTCAAAGAGGGTCATGAAACCTTCTGTTTCAGCATTGGTTCGTTCTCATGACAGTTTTGAAAAATGCTTTTGTATGGTTTTGTAAGCTCACCATACATTACACAAATACCTATAGGCTTTACCACAT